ATTAGAGGCTTCGACTAGCTCTGGGAGGGGGCGCAGGGATACTTGACTTGACTATGCCCCGAATTTATTACTTTATTAGTACTTTCAAGTTTTCTTTATGAATGTCATAAAAAGCAACATCGATTGTATGCAAGAGCAGGAGAACTCTGTTTTGAAATCAATGAAATTGAAAGTTGTGGTACTGAAAATTTTCCGCTTTGGTCCAAAAATGGTCTTGGTTGTAAAGAGATTAATTTGAACAAAGCAACTTTTATTAAAACTTTTCAAAACCATTTTCGATGTGGATCAGAACTGGACACGCCGAAGATCTGTCACTGAGATGCACAACCCCAGATCCCTGCAACTGGAAAGTTGCCCCTAGTTTGAAGAGTACCGCGGCACTGCATGGCAACGGAAAGTTGCCCCTAGTCTGAATCGTGCTGCACTGTCATGGTAACGGAAAGTTGCTCCTAGTCTGAATAGCACTGTACCGGAGATCACGATAAATGCTGATGGATAAAGATGACCGAGATGGTCAAAATGGACAAAGTTGATCGGGGAAAAGTTTATGGCTGAACTTCAAGGTGAAGTTGCCTACGTATCCCAAAGATGGGAATCAAGCCTTACGTAGTTCAGGCTTAGGTTCACTCGGGTATTTTCACTCTCCTTTTACGCTCTAACTTTTGCCAAGGTCGCCCTTTGCGGGTTTTCAACCTTGCGAGCTCAGTTTTTATATTTTCTAATTTTTTGTGCTCTAACTTTTGCCTAGGTCGCCCTTTCGGGTTTTCGGCCTAGCGAGTCTCTCAGGGGTAGTATTTCTTCAACTTGTCCATGTTGATCGGTTGGGAAAACTCTAGGCCATCTAGATCCATTAGAACCACAGCTCCACCTGACCAGATAGCTTTGATGATGTAAGGACCAGTCCAATTGGGTTTGAACTTGCCCCTTGGGTCGTGGATGGGAGCTCGGTTGTCCTTGAGCACCAAATCTCCTTCTTTTAGGTTCCTAGACTTAACCTTCTTGTTGAAAGCCCAGGCAATTCTGCGTTGATAGCCTTGAATATGGTACAGTGCTTTCAGTCTTCTTTCATAAAAAAGCATGAGTTCCTCAAATCTGCTCTGCTGCCAAACTGCCTCAGCTATTTGACACTCGGCTAATACTCGTAACGACGGAACCTCAATCTCAATAGGTAGAACAGCCTCCATTCCATAAACCAATGAATACGGAGTCGCTCCGGTAGAAGTTCTGATTGAAGTCCTGTAGCCCCACAGAGCAAATGGCAGCTTATCTGGCCAATCACGGTAGGTTTCCACCATCTTTTGCAGTATGTGTTTGATATTCTTGTTGGCGGCCTCGACCGCTCCGTTGGTTTGCGGCCGGTATGTAGATGACTTATGGAAAGCCACGTTGTATTTCTCCAACAAGTCTATCATTTCCTTCTTGAAGTGGGAACCATTATCTGAAATTATATCGTTCGGGACCCCATAGCGACAAATGATGTTGTTCCTGATAAACTTTGCAACGTGTGACGCCTTCAACACCGCATACGATTGGGCCTCGACCCACTTCGTGAAATAATCTATCGCAACCAGGATGAACTCATGCCCATTTGACCCCTTCGGAGTGACAGCCCCGATCACATCGATTTCCCAAACTGAAAATGGCCATGGCTATGTCATGTTGTACAGCTTCGACGGCGGGATGTTCATGCGGTTTGCATGAATCTGACACTTGTGGCATCGCCAAACAAAACTAATACAATCCTCCTCCATGGTGGACTAGTAATAACCCTGTCTGAGGATCTTCCGTGACAGCATTACTCCGTTCATATGCGCACCGCATTCTCCTCCA